GAAGCGATCAAAGCACTTGGGGTCAAAGTTGACGAGCAGCACGAAGACATTAGTGCGCAACTAAAACAGCACAGTGCCATGATCACCAGCGTAGCAAAGGCTGTGCAGATTCATGCCGAAGAGTTGAAAGAATGTAGAGAAAAAGTGAACATGATGGAAAAGCAAGTGAGCATGCTCACTAAAGAAAATGGTGATTTGAGAAGCCGTGTCTTAGACCAGGAGAGATATAAGAGAAGATGGTCGCTTCGCATCAAAGGAATGAAGGAAAAGTCTAATGAAAACATCAGGGAAGATTTGCTCCAACTTCTTGTTAAAATTACCCCTGAATTCGCTTCCAACATGGGTGGATGTTGTGCATCGGGTGGGAAGAAAAGAGGTGAACGGATTCAGAGAAGTAATCATTCTCTTTACTCGTAGAGGAGTGAGGTATGAGGTGTGGAAAAGAACGAAGGACTCAGCGGTGTGCAAGAATGCTGGAATCAGATTCGCGGAAGATCTAACAAGAGAAGATAGACTGGCAAGACGAGCGATGTGGCCGAAAATTGAGCAAGCCAGGAAAGAAGGAAAGTCGGCTGGATTTCGGGGCCCTTATGGATACATAAATGGGAGACGTATTTCAGAGAACTAACGGGTGTTTGAACAGAGATTTTCATCTGAAAGATGAGATGGAGGACAAATAATGCGGGACTCTGCATTACTTATTTCGTTTGAACTTTTGTCTTGTGATAAAGTTTTTGGAAAGTTCAAAGTTCAGTATTAGTGAACAGTTTCCATGTTTTCGTTATTATCTGAAGTTTCATTTGCGTCTTTAAACTGTAGGGGTATGAAAGACTCTGTTAAGAGAAAAGGAATTTTCCTTTTTTGCAAAAGCCAAAAATCCGATCTTTTTTTTATTCAAGAAACACATTTGGAAGCTTCGGATGTTCCTTTCTGGCGTAATGAGTGGGGTGATGATGTTTTTTAGTCATGGCTCGAACCGATCTGCTGGGGTCGCTGTTTGTTTTCAGAAATGTCCTGGTAAAATCATCTTTAACAAAGCGGAAGGCGATGTTCATTGGCTAGCAATGGTTCTCAGTTTAGATAAATTATTTTTCATTTTGATAAACGTGTATGGATATAATAGTCGCATCCAGAATAAAGAGTTGCTTTTTTCAATTACTAATATCATAAAGGATTTGAAGTCTACTTACCCCAAAGATTTTATTTTAATTGGTGGAGATTTCAATTTGACTCCAGATGATTCAATTGACCTTAGGGAGCGTGATGGATTGTAGCGTGGTAGAAGACTAGTTAGGTACGCAGGAGCTAACCCATTAAGGGCCTTATAGGCAAGTAATAATATTTTGTAACTGATACGGAACTTAATCAGATGAGTGGTTAGACAGACATCCCTCTAAATATAATGCCTCTCATTGTATAATGCCTTGATTGATATTTGGAGACTACACAATCCGGACATTAGACAGTTTTCTTGGATTAAACCCAATGCAAATGCCAGATCAAGAATTGATTACTGGCTTGGCACTGAGGCTGTTTCTAATTATGGATGTAAGTGCACCATCTCTAGTGCTCCATTAACTGATCATTGTTTAATTGATTTAAATTTAAAACCAAAGGAAGACTCTCATAGAACTAAAGGTTATTGAAAATGTAATGCTGAATTATTGAATCAGGAAGACTATGGAATATATATATAAAGAAGATTATAACTGATATTGGTAAGAAATGTATGCATAGGTGCAGTAAATGGGAATTTTTTTAAATATAAAGAATACTCAATAACTTATGCGGTTAATTAAGGAAATTCAGCTAATTCAGGAGATCAATAAGTGCTGTTGTAAATCTGTTTTAACAAATGAGGATAAGGATAAACGTATTAATTTACCTTCTTTATTGGATGAACTTTATATAAGAAAGGCAAAGGGTGCATATGTGAGGTCAAGAGCAAAATGGATGGAAGAGGGGGAGAAAAATAGTTCATACTTTTGTAATCTTGAAAAAAGACGTCAAGAGAGAAATGTTGTAGGCAGTTTATTAATAAACCAGAAAGAATGTTATGATAATGATACTATTGTAAATGAGGTGTTTCAATTTTATTCAAATTTATATACATCATCTCATTCCAATGATAATACTAATGATAAAGAAAGTGAAGAGTCATATTCCTAAAATCGAGAATTCATTCAAAGAATTATGTGATTCGGACTTGACGGTCCAAGAATTAGATCTAGCCTTAAAAAGAATGAAATCGGGCAAATGACATCAGACTTCTATAAATTCTTTTGGGAAGACTTAAAACATTTACTTTTAGAAGCACTACAAGATTGTATTATGTATAATGACTTATTGCCTACGATGAGGCAGGGTCTTATTATTTTAATTCCAAAACCTGGTAAGGATAAAAGAATTTTAGATAATCTACGGCCTATTACACTTCTCAATACTGATTACAAAATATTTACTGGGGCGATAGCTGCTAGACTAAAAGTAGGACTTCCACAAATAATTAGTGAGAGTCAATCTGGGTTCCTTAGGGGGAGATCAATACATAACAATATTCGTTTGGTGCTTGACATCTTAGTATACAATCATTTAATTGAAGACGATGGATTTATTTTATTTCTGGACTTTTTTAAAGCTTTTGATATGGTCGAACAACCTTTTCTTTTCCAGGCTCTTTATCATTTTGGTTTTGGACCAAAATGTATTAATATCATCGAAATGCCGTGTAATGACATAAATAGTTCAGTTGCTCTTCCCAAAGGAACATGCCCAAGATTTCAGGTGAACAGAGGTATAAGACAAGGCTGTGGTAGGGCACCTCTGTTGTTTATTATGGTTGCAGAATTGTTAGCCATTCTCTTAAAGAACGAGAATATTGCTGGTATTAACTTTATGGATCACAAAATTATTATCAGTCAACTTGCTGATGATACAACCTTTTTAAAAAAAAAACAAATGCAGATCCCCCTAGCACTTCACTCTGTAAGATGTTTTGCAAAAGCATCAGGATTACAGTTAAATGCATCAAAATGTGAACTGATGGCTATTCATGACTGCCCCTTGTCCTCATTATATAATATTTCAATAAAAAAAATATGCAGGAATTATAATTTCAAAAGATGAAGATAGAATAGAATTGTTAAATATTGACAGAAATATTGAAAAATGTAGATCCATATAATATTGTGATGTCCCTCTGAACTTTTGGTTACAGAGGGACATCACAATATTCGGGAGAATATTATTAATAAAAATAGAGAGTCTTTCAAGGTTAATTTACCCAGGGTCTTCATTGCCGATATCTACCAGAAAGATAAAAGCTATTAATAAATTGAATTTTGATTTCATCTGGAGAAAGAAATATCACTACAATCAGAAAAATGATATAATAAAGGAATATGAGGAAGGTGGGCTAAAGGCAATTGATTTTGATATCATGAATGGGGTTCTTAAACTTAAATGGCTCCAATCTTTTATTTTTGGTTTGCAATTCCATCCAGTCTCTTTAAAAAATGTGGAGGTATAAAGTTTTTTTTTACAATGCGACTTTGAGCTTTCTAAAATTCCACTGAAACGATCTGTTTTTCATAAACAAGTCCTCTTGTATTGGAAGATGTTATTCAAACACAATTTCAGTCCACATAATGTATCCTTATGGAATGACCGTTGTATATTGTTTCAGAGAAAATCTTTGTTTGTGGAGGCGTGGTGGCAAAAAGGTATTTGGTCAGTGCTGCACATGATGGATACAAATGGCTGTTTTTGGAATTATAATGATTTCAGTACCAAATTCAACTTTAATTGTGAGAAGAAAGATTATATAAAAGTCATCAAAAGTATTCCTTTACCAATGGTTATTATGTTAAATATTCTACGCTTATTCCCAGAATAGTTGATCTTAATTTAGACAAAATAAGTTTTGTTGATAAGAAGTGTACAAATAAGATTATAAGAAATTGTCTTTTGCAGAAAAGCTATCCTGGTCGTATACGAAGAGATTACATTTTTCGACATCTTAGTAGGAAATTAGTAAAGGAATTTAGAAGCAAATATCTTCTATTTCCCCTTCCACCCAAATATAAAGAAATACATTTTAAAATGATGTATGATATTTACCCAGCCAAAGAATTTCTAAGATTAAGATTTAATGTGGAGTCAAATACTTGTCAGATTTGTAATAATGATATTGAAACTGTTGAACATTTATTTTTTTCAATGCAATTTGGTTAATCCATTTTGGAATGAGGTGCTTAATTGGATAAAACATAAAGTACCTTCTTTTCCATCTATCAGTTGGGATATGGTAAAATTCGGTGTACATTTGGAGGACAAAAATGCAGACTTTGTTATAAATTGTCTATTTCTTATAGTTAAATTTTTTATTCACAAATGTAAAGTTTTGAAAACTGCACCCCAATTTAATATATTTACAAAAGAGCTAACCTTATATACTGATGCCTTAAAAATTATGAGAACATATAAAGCCAGGAAATTACTTGTTTTGTTTAATCAATATGACTTTATTTCAAAAATGTATTAGCCTATTTGAATTAATCCCCTACAGTGCTGTTGTATTTGAATTATTTATTTTATTTGATTACTATTATTATTATTTTTTGTGACATTATGTATTAAAATTTGTTATATTATTTCTCAGTCTGTGAAGTTGTACAATTTAAATGATGTTGGCCTGTTATGTTATTGTTCATATGCAGAATAAAAAAAAAAATAAAAAAACCTAGCAGCCACATAGCACCTTAACAACCATCCAGAGCATTATAGCTACACCTAACAACCACACAGGACATCGTAGCACCACCTGTCAGCCACATAGCACCTTAACAACCATACAGAACAGCATAGCTCCACCTAGCAGCCATCCACAGTGCTCTAGCATCATGGAAGTAATTTTCTTCAGGAAATGTCAAACTCTAGTTGTTTGTGTGCTTTTGTTCTGCAGGTTTTCTGACTGCTCTTTCCTATCTTTGTGTTCTCAGTGCTCTCCTGACTGTCTGACCCTGCAGATCAGAACGGTTCTGTGTGGGTTTCTGGTGCTGCTGATGTACTCCGTGACCCAGGGGTGTGTGGTGAGTGTGTGTGTACAGTAGAAGAGAGTGACAACTGTATGACTGAGGGTGTTGCTTATAGAATATACACTGATAAAAACATATGTAATATATATAATTCCATTATTTAACTTCCCAAATATGTGTTCCTCTATTAGTTTCTTTCTGATGTTGAATGTGTTTGTGTTACTGTACCTACACAGGTGGAATGTGTACCGTGGTCACTGGAGGGGAATTCCAATGTTTCCATGGTGCCAATTGTCACCGCCAACGGGACCAGCGTGGGCTCCAGGGTGTGCAAATACACTCCGTACGTATTTTTATCATGTGTGATGGCATCGCTATCTGTGGCTCTGTACCTCCGTGTGTCATCACTACCCAAGATCCTCCTGCTTCTCCTTCTCAACATCCTCCACACTGTCGTCATGGAGACTAGCAGCTATCGGAAGGCCATAGGGTGAGTTGAGCTAAACACAAAGGTTATAGGAGTGTTTGTAGTTCATATTTGTTTAATTATCTCAGGGTTACCCAAACTGGGATTTGTGAGAAATATTTTGTTTACCTGCAAGTAATGTCACCATTACCTGACACCAGAGAACTGAGAACATGTAAATGTGTTGTTAAATTATTGAAATGTTAATTTAATAACTCAGGAGCAAATTTAAAAGTAAATGTTTTCGGTCAAAAGGCTGAATCCCTGTTTTATCTGATAATCTGATGGGTGTCATTGTGTTTGTGTGTGCAGAGGTGGATTCTTTCACACACACAGCTATGACCCTGTTCTGGCAATGCTGCTGTTTTCTGGAGCTTTGGTGCTTCACTGCAGACAGCTGGATCTCAAACTCAGACTGGACTACCTCTGGGCCACCCAGGTGAGTGCACCTGTTTATATGCAAACATTAGGGTTTGTGTGTGTGTGTGTGTGTGTGTGTAAATGCATCACTTAGTAAAAATTAATATATTTAAAATACATTTATTTCATACCAAGTATAGTTCAAATCTGTTAACATTTTTCCTGACATTTTGTTTGAGATTTACTGACATAAAAATGATAAAATAATTATATAATTAATTAATATTTATTTGGAGTACTATTTGTGCACAATGCACATTACTTAATATTAAGTCTAAAATGTGTTTTAATGTCACTATTGATGAGGATTGTAGGATTTTTTGAATAATATCAGTCTTTAAATGCAAGATATTTAAAGTGTACCCAATGTACACAATCAAATAATCTTCAGCATATCTTTAGTTGGACTTCAGCACAATTAAAGTGCATTTAGTACAAACTTAAGTTGTTCCAAATTAGCAGACTTTAAGTATACAGTATCTGTTTAGTATACTAAAAGTACAATTGCAGGGTATTATTTAAGTACATAAATATGTAAATGTATCTGTTGTATACCTAGCATAAAATAAATGTATTCCAAATACATTTTAGTATATTTATTTTTTACTTAGGTCAAACAGTATGAATGAGCTCACACAGAATCTACTGTATATAAGCAAAACATAGTTCTTTGCAAACTTTTAAGTACTTTTGGGAAAATAATTGTTTCCCAAATTCAGTTATATGAACGTGCAAAAAAACAGATTTAGTCTGTGCCTGTATATAAGTATGACAAATGGCAAGTGGGGGAATAATTTGACTGAAATGATTTTGACCAGAAATAATAGTAATAAATAATAATGTAAAAGAAATACATAAAAATAACACACACACACACACACACACACAAAAGTTGGGGATCAGTAAAATTTTTAATGTTTTTTATTTAAGTCTCTTCTGCTCACCAAGGCTGAATTTATTTATTCAAAAATAGTTGCAACAGTATTGTAAAATAATATTATATATACAATATAATAATATAATACATATTATATACTTTTAAATGTAAATTTAATTCAATTTAAATTTATTTAAATTGAATATTTATTTCATTTTAATGAAATAAATTAAATTTGAATAGGTAACGTAAATAGGTAACCTATTCTATTTGAATAGGTAACGTAAAATGTCACATGGTCCTTCAGAAATCATTCGAATATGTTGATTTGGTGTTCAAGAGACATTTCTTATTATTAGCAATGTTGAAAACAGTTCTGCTGATGAATATTTTTGTGGAAACTGTGGTACAATTCTTCCAAGATTCTTGGGAAGTTCAAAAGAAAAGCATTTGTCTGATATAGAAATCTTTTGTAACATACTGTGAATTTAATGTGCTGACTTTACCACGCTGAATAAAAGATTAATTTATTTTATAAAAAGTCCCCATGACCCCTTTAAGAGAAGTATCTCCGGTTGGAATGTTCTTCCGCGGGATGTGTGCAGTTCTGTTTATTAACCGCTAGAGCGCCAAAAGGTACATAGTGCTGCTTTAAAGACAACATGAGATCCCAATTAACTTCTAATAATGTGACACATTTCTAAGCAAAATAGCATATTCAGATGAAGTGAAGTGGGGATTGTTGTGGTTTGTCAGATGTTGTAGTTCCCAAAGTCACCACTTCATGGCAATGTTGTTACGATCCAGCTGAGAGGTCAGTGCAGATGCTTTGATGATAGCTTGTGTTTTGATCATGCAAATGAGATAAGATTGTGATTGTGGGTAGTGTAAATGCTCCATCTGGCTTTGTGATCTCACTGCCAGGCTTCATTGTGAGGCCTCATGAACACAATGAATGTGTGATTACACTCCCGTTATGTTTTTTTATTTTTTATTATGTTTGCTGCATGCTCAACACATGCTGCTCGCCTCTTTTCCTGTCCAAGATCCTTCACAGGAATTGATGCAATCAGACACAAATCTGTTGCAGCAGCTCTGAAGCAAGCATCCTCTCCTGAGCATGGAATTATATTGTAAACAGTGGCATAAGGAAGTGAAAATCTTGGACACATACGCAAAAGTACACACAAGATGCAAACATCACTGGAATGTTTTCTTGATGAATCTTCTTTTTACTATAATGATAGCTTGGAAAAAGTGTACAACTGTTTTGTCACGTCCACTTATGATGTTAGTCATATTTTCTTGCACCAAAACATTTTAATTTAGTTTTACATGACCAATTTCCCCCCCTCTCTGACTCTTCTACCATTCAAAAGTTTGGGATCAGTATTTGTTTTAATTTTTTTATTAAATTAATTTATACTTTTAATCAGCAAGGATGCTTTAAATTGGTCACTCTGACTCTTCTACCATTCAAAAGTTTGGGATCAGTATTTGTTTTTATTTTTTTTATTAAATTAATTTATACTTTTAATCAGCAAGGATGCTTTAAATTGGTCAGAAGTGGCAGTAAAGACATTTATAATTTTACAAAATATATATTTTTTCAAATAAATGCCTTTAAACTTTCTTTTTATCAAAGAGTCCTGAAAAATGTATTACAGTTTCCAGAAAAAAGATAACACTTTACTTAAAGCCTTTATGTATAATGCATTATAAAAGTAGTTTTAATGCATTAATTATACCTTGTTGTAATGCACTTTATAATGCATTATACAATTTCATGAATAATTGTAACCACAGTTAATACATTCTAACACTTATAAATTTATTGTTACACTATGCATTTAATTTTTTAAAAGTTATAATTATTTATGACAAGATATAATGTATTACAACGCACATTATGAATAATTATAAGGCATTATACCCTCTAATAACCCTTTAAAATGCATTTTTAAGTAAAGATAAATAAATAAAAAATATGAGGCACAAACAGCACAATGTTCAACATTGATAATAAGAATGATTAGAATGATAATAAGAATGATGATTTCTGAAGGGCCATGTGACACTAAAAAAAATCTAGAGAAATGGCTGATGAAAATTCAGTTTTTTTTTTCAATTATATTAAAATAGAAAACAGTTTTAAATTTTATTTAATTTGCATTTTTAAAATAAGTTTTACATTTTAAATTGTAATGATATTTCACAATATTATTGTTTTTACCATATTTTTGATTACATTTTTACTTTTTTCAAAAATCCTACCGACCCCAAACCTTTGAATGTTTGTGTAAAATGACTAACATCTGTATATGATTTCAGCCAGACGAAAGCATTTATGTGACACTTAAAAAGACAGATTATTGCTTTTTTATTGACAAATTAGTATGTCTAAATGTCTAGTATGCGCCATGTTTCTTGTTTACAGCCATAAGACACCAAATTGTTGCTATGGTTATGTCCAAAATCATAATTTTGGGAGTGAATCCTATACTCCATACATATAATGTAGAATGATAATTAAAGAGAGTCACTTCTGTATTTAAATGCGGTTGTCACTCCCAAAACTTTGCAGTGTGTACGTGGCCGATATGTCTACATAGTAAATCAAATTCTTCTATTTCAGAAGAGCAAGAAAACCCCCTTTTTTATGTGCATAAACCACTGTGAAATCTTTGATTTGAGATGGAAGGGTCAATCTAATGCACTCTTACCTTTTAATATCGAAAGCAAGTTTTGCTTTGACCGAAATCAACTTGTCCAATTCATGCGTGTCGTGTGTCGTGACTAATTACCGTAGACTTAACTTCTCTAACTGCTGTTATATTCCAGCTCAGCCTGGATCAGTGGTATCGTCCCCTGAGGGTCTCATGGCTCTTTGCTTTCCTGCTCTTTCACTGTTCCAGGACCTGTATTATCAGTCTTACTCTCAGGTGGGCGTCCTGTTCGCTTCCATCCCCAACTTTAATGACTTCTACATTGAGCTGGATGGAAACAACATGGGTGTGGAATGCCTCCGGCTGCTAAACGAGATCATCGCTGACTTTGATGCGGTGAGAATTTCTTGTCTCCCAGCCTGAGATATGTATGCTTTGGCTCAGTGTGCGAGTTACCTTAATCCCACTCATCTTCATTTATTTCTCCATCACATCATCTCTCTCTTTCTCTGTCTGTAGCTGATGGATAAGGAATGCTACAGAGACATTGAGAAGATCAAAACTATTGGCAGTACTTACATGGCTGCGGTCGGACTCGTCCCCACTGAGGGATCCAAGGTACACAGAGTGTGTATGTGGGCAAACACAGCAAAAATCATTTTCTCAATCAGAATTTTTGCCTTGTTTTCCAGTAAAATGATCTAAACAACTTTAACACAAGATATGTTATTTGAGAAGCAAAAAGACTTGTTTTTAGAGAATGCACTGTTCTAAAGTTTGGGGTCTGTAAGATTTTTTATATATTTTTTATGTCTACCAGAGTAGCATTTATTTGATAAAAAAAAAAAACAGTAAAAAAAATCAGTAATATTGTGAAATATTATTAAAATTTAAAATAACTAATTCAAATTCCTGTGATGCAAAGCTGAATTTTCTGCAGTCATTCAGTGTCACATGATCCTGCAGAAATCATTCTAATATCCTGATTTGCTGCTCAAGAAACATTTTTATTATTATCAGTGTTGAAAACAGTTGTACTGCTTCATATTTTTGTGGAAACTGTGATCTATCTTTTTCAGGATTCTTTGATGAATAGAAAGAGAAATGAATGAAATGAAATAGATTTTTTTTTGTAAGATTATAAATGACTTAACTGTAACTTTTTATCAATTTAATGCAATGTTGCTGAAAAAAAAACACTTCAATTAAGTTTGATTTTTTTGTATGTTATATGTATAAATGTAACCAAATTTAGTGAGGTTTACACATAAAAAGATAACATTTTATTTTATATTGTTATGCAACTGTGTTTTTCAAATGAATTTATTTTAAGGATGTTTAGATATTTTTAAAGTAAACAGTACAAATTAATCAAATTAGTCTGAGCCCTGTGTGTGTGTGTTTTTTAAACTAATCTCAGTTTGGGTGTATTTGGATTTGGCCTTGAAAGACGAAAATCATGTCATGGCACCACTCAAACCTCCCACTGCTTTGAAAGTAAAACTATAACTAATATCAAATGCAAACGCACGTGCATGTTTGTTTTTCTGTCATAGTGGAGACTTTCCATTGACATCAGTTATTTTTATACCGAGCTAATGATATTTTCTCCTAACCATAAAGCTAACATAAACACAGCCCACGGCTTAATTAAAGGGACAGTTAACATGAAAATGAAAATTCTGTCATCATTTACTCACCCTCATGTTGTTCTGAATCTGTATGCATTTCTTTCTTCTGTGGAACATTGAAGAATGTTGGGAAACAAACCATTTCGGAGCCAATTTACATTGTATGGACAAAAAAAAGAGACATATCTCAAAATATCGTTTTTTAAGTTCCACAGAAAAAAACAGTCATACAGGTTTGGAACAACATGAGGGTAAGCAAATTATGACAGTTTTTAGATGACCTTTCCCTTTAAACCTCAGATTAGTGATATGAAAATTATGAATGTATTAGTAATATGAAATTATGATCTCTCATAATGTATTCACCCTCATGTCACTCTAAACCTGTAAAATTCCTCCATTGAACACAAAAAAAAAAATGTCCAGAATGTTCAAGCTTCCATTATCCATGCACCAAAAGCAAGTGAACCTGAAATCATATTTGAACTTCCTCATATTCAGACACATGATAACCAGATTGACGTCATTTATGGCATAGGTCAAGATTTTGAGAGAGTAACTGTATCAGTCCGTTTCGACACAAAGCTATCATATGACGTCAGAAAACTTGGAAGAATTGTTTGTCTGTTTTGGAGCTTGACAGCTCCTGGTCACTATGATGCGTTGTTTGAAGGGAAAAAAGAGCAGCATGAACATTCTTCAAAATATCTTCTTTTGTGTTTCACAAAAACTTCAAATGATTAAGTTAATAACAGCTTTTTTTTGTTGTTGTTTGTTTTTTTTTGGGCAGAAATACTCCCATATTCTGATCATAAAATCATCCAACAATTACTCTGTTTATTATCGTCATCTCAGAACAAGTGTAGAGGTGGTAGTATATGAATAATGTCTTTCTGTTTTCTCTCTGAATAGGTAAAGAAGTCCATTTCTGAGCACCTGTGCACAGTGGCTGATTTCGCCATCGAGATGTTTGATGTACTGGATGCGATCAACTACCAGTCCTACAATGACTTTGTGCTTCGAGTTGGTTAGTGACCTTGTTAAAGCGAGGTGTCAACCGTGTGTGTGTTTGTGTGAGTTAGTGTGTGTAAATGAGTGTGTGTGCTTCTGTATAAGTGGAGGAAATACGTCAGTAAGTGTGGACATTGTGCCGGACATCCCGCATCCAGTAGGATGTCCTGAGTGTAACATGTTTTGTAAGGAACAGATTACATATAACAAAAACACAGTTACACACATGCACAAACAAGCTACACTACATACACACTTCTTAACAAAATGTCATGAATTTAAACATCTCACTATTAAAGCATTAGTGGTATGCTGCTAACACAATATCCATCCCTTCAGCTCTGATGGCCTCTAGTCGCTGAGTAGATTTTATTTTTTCTTAAGCAGACAGACAGCAGAAAGTGAAGGTTTAGCACAGGGAGCTGCTCAGAAAAACATACCTGCTACAAATCATTATTTAATGAGGAGGGCAGACAGAATGCAGAACTGGAACAATCCTGTAAAACGGTCCCAAATGAGCAATCTGTAATTACATTTTTAAGCCACTTGACAAGTTGCATTTGCAAAATTTAAAATTGCAGTTATGAGAAGGAATTTTTCAATATACTAATGACAAAATGTAATAGGTTTCTCCACCTCTGAAACACATTTTTCTGCTTGTGTAACCAAGGCTACATGGTAATGAAAAATGAAATTCTTCAATTTATAATAGTATTTCTTTCTTTTATTAACAACTACAGGTCTCTTTCAATGCCACACTACCTGTTTTTAGTGAATTAAATCACGGTTTCCACAAAAATATTGAGCAGTTTAAAAAAATATATTAAAAAAATGTTGAACTCTTTCAACATTGATACTAATATGAATTGAATCTTTACCAGCCAATCATCATAGAATAATTTCTGAAGGATCATGCGACACTGATGTAATGATGCTGAAATATCAGCTTTACCATTACAGGAATAAATTACATTTACAAATATAAATTGAAATTATTGTTTTCAATTGTAAAAATATTTCACAATATTACTGTATTTGTTAGTAGTGTGTGTGTGCATGTGTGTGTGTATATATACAGTATATGTGTGCGATATATATATATATATATATATACAGTTGTGCTCATACCCTAAGTTTACATACCCTTTGCAGAATATGCAAATATGTTAATAATTTTAACAAAATAAGAGAGCTCATGAAAATTGCATGTTATTTTTTATTTAGTACTGTCCTGAATATGCTATTTCACATAACAGATGTGAAAAATAATAACTGAATTTATAAAAATTACCCCATTCAAAAGTTTACATACCCTTGAATCTTAATACTGTGGCTGTGTGTCTGGATGATCCACGACT